ATAGCTACACACTCACACAAAAGGTAAATGATTTGTGCAGCTTCTCTTGATAAAAAGTTTTTACTTTGAAGGATCAGGAGTCCTTGGCATTTTCCAATAGCTGCTTCTGCCTCATGAATGCAAAACACGTTACAATCCTGAGCAGACCTGGGACTTAAAGCTTTAAAAAAAAAAGAAAAGAAAAAAAAAAAAAAAAAGAGTATGTGTGTCACATGATGATTTGATCCAGCTTTTCTCCTTCCTAAGTTTTCTTCTCCACACTTTTTGAGAACTAAGTGGATGCATAGAGAGAGAAAGAGACCGAATGAAGGCAGAAGCAGAGTAAGATCTCACCATCGTCTCGCTAATGGAAATGGTCACTGCTGGAAAGCGCTGTGATGGTGTTGAGAAAAATGGACCAGGGTTTCCTTTCAAGAGGATCTCTCTGATCCGCTTCTTTTGTAACCTTCCTTTGAATTCATATATACTATATATATGAGGGACTATGGTAAAATTTCTGCCAAAAATCTAACCTGCTGAGTAGACTAGTTCAAACCAGCCTAGGGTGTTTTTATTTGTTTTTTTTGGTCTCCCAGCCTGGCCAAACTGGTGTTCTGCTGGTTTATGTGTCCAAAACCCTTTGAAAACGTCAAAATATGCCTGACCATTAACTAGTCCATAGAAAAAGTTGGCTTCATGTATGTGTTGGACTTTAATGGGCATTAAACATCAATTAAAGAGGCCATAATGTAATATTTTTTTTCACCCAAGTTATGTTTGTCTACTGGCATCAAAAACAGCTGTGATCTAGTCTTTACCTATAAATTCAGAGTCTTTTAAATAAACTATCTTTTTTACATTTACAGGTGTCTAAAAGGGTATACTGTACCTTTAAGACACCAACATGTATATGTACCTCTTTTTTGATCGGCTAACCTCTGCGAATTTTAGAATCACAGTTCTCTTGTACTTTATAATGGCTACTTTACTAAAAAAAGAGTGCATAGATTGAGGATGCTTGCATCAGAAAATGCTAAGACAATATTGTGTATCCAGCATACTTGAAATCTCCAGCATTCAATGTACTTCACTCGTCTTTCAATGAGACATTGTGAGGAGAGGGGGAGAATGTTAACGAAAAGGCATTTGATTACAGTCTAAAATGAGCAGCTGTTGAGAGCTCTTCCAGCCGAGCGAGTGACAGGAACACTTTGATAGAACTTGCGCATCTTTCTTAGATTTTGTGCAGCACAATGTGTAGAATCTGTGAGTTGGGTGGGACTTTGCTGGAAAAAGTTAATCGCTAAAAGAGGTCACAAAAATATAGTAGTTTACTATAGTGCATTCAAGTCCTCCTGGGGAGTTTGTATTTACAAGTTGGGATGTGGAAATTATGAATTATTTGACAGATCAGATAAATATGGATATTTTTGTCTAACTGCTTTTTTAAAAAAGTAGCTCTACTGAACGTGAATTATTTAGGTTGTAGCTAGGTAGGCCAGTTTTGAAGTAGCTTCCTCAAAACAGCTGGAAAACGAACTACACAGTACAAATGCAAGCAGGATATTTCAGTTGGCCCTGAAGCAACCTTCATATCAACAACAGATCTGCTGTCAGAATTACAACAGCATGACAACAACTTCAAAACAAATCACCACTTGGAAGGTTACGCCCATTAGTCATTTAAAGGCATTCAGGATCCTGGTTTACTAGATCTTACTCTGCTTCAATTTCACGTCAAACAAGTCAAAATGATGTACTATCAAAGAACCAGCGTTATGTCATGCAGCAGCATTGGCAAAAAACTATAATGGTTCCTGCAGGTGTAATGACGCTAACAAGAAAAACTTGTGGACATGTGGGAGAAAACAAGGTACCGTCACATTGTTGGCCAACAGCAAAGTCCCCCTGACAGGATTTTAATAATAGCTCTCACAGACTGAAACTCTGCACTCCAGGTCTCATCCAGGTGCCACTTTTCAAGGGTGATGGACTGTCTTTAGAAAGCTGATGTGTGAGAGCTGGCATCAAGCCCATTTAGAAGGCCCAGCTGTTCCAATCACCCAGGATCACACCCTATAAACACAGATGTCAGTTCACAGGAGAGAAGGCTAAACATAAACTAAACAGACTTCTGTCACTGCAATATTTGATCACAATATATTTAACAATAACACACAAGACAAATAAATATAAACAAAAATAAACACAAATTTAAAATGATCAAGGGGTTCTAGATTATGGAATCAATTACCAATTTATTAACTGAAAAATGTAAATAAATAAAAAATCACTAAAATGAGCTAATATTTGTTCAAATTTGCTAAACATTTGTTGAATATTGAATTTTGTTCAACAAAAATGACTTTAAATACATCTATATTTCATCTTTTCAATTTCATTCCATCATTTTGAAAAGCTTTATATACAGTATACTACTGTTAAAGGTTTGAGGTCAGAATGATTTTTTTAAAGAAATTAATACTTTTATTCAGCAAGGATGAGTTAAATTGATCAAGTGACAGTAACGACATTTATAATGTTAAAAAAATATTTCTATTTCAAATAAATGCTATTAAACCCATTTTAAACCATTCATCAAATAATCCTGAAAAATGCATCATGGTTTCCACAAAAATATTAAGCAGCACAACTGTTAATCAGTATGTTAGAATGATTTCTGAAGGATCATGTGACACTGAAGACTGGAGTAACGGCTGCTGAAAACTCAGCATTGCCTTCACAGGAATAAATTCTATTTTAAAATATATTAAAATACATGGCTAATTGATTTCTTTATTTTGAAGTGACGGACTTTGTCCTCCACACTAAATTTAGCACACAAAAAGCTCAAGAAATGTCTTTTAAAATGACTGACAGCACTTTAATGAATAGGCGCATTTCAGAATGCAATTGAAAATGTATTCAGTCTCAAAAATATTTCCCTACCAATGCGTTTACCTCAAACAAAAGATTGAATGCACACAATAACTTTTGCACCTGCTCCCCTCAGACAAATCTGCAGACTAGCCTTGTATAGTAACAGGGTGCCCGCTGCCTTAGCCTAACTAGAAAAGTGCGATCTAATAACACAGTCTAATCTCATTTCCATCTATATTGAATTGCTGTTACGATATCCACAGCTCAATGGGTGTTAGCCATTATACCAGTGGATGAGCTGATCCAGCCTGCAGAGAGTAACATGGGGAAAAGAGTGACCTTCCTTAACGGTGTCATCTCGTTCTATGTGGGAAATGGATGGTGGTCAGGTGTTAAATTGGCCAAGAGCGAAGATCTCCCACCTCAGTTCGTCTGGAGAGTGGGCGGTGCACTTTTGGCCGAGTTAACATCTCGCTACAATTTTTGCCTTGCATCTCCTCCTGATATTGTGAACCAGAGAGTAAGATTCTGAACCACAGAAGGGTGGATTTCTAATATTAAAAGAATAGTTCACCCCCAAAAATTTATATTTTGTTTAGACTCACCCTGATGTCATTCCACCCCACTATCATTTTCTTTACTCTGTGAAAAACAAAATATCTGAGTTTTCCATACAAAGAAAGTGGATTTACAGTGCCAAGCTCTAAAACTGACAAAAAGCACTATAAAATTACTGTAAAAATACTCTATTTCAAGTCTTTTGAATATGACAGATGTGAGGAACAGCCCAACATTTAAGTCTCTTAGGTTCAATGATAATTTTTCCTTCTGTGGTAGCTATCAAATTTCATTTGCAGTTGCATTTTTTCAACCTTGCCACTTTGTGACTGGTCACGTGACAGAGAATTGGTCAAATGTGTTTAAAGACTACATCAGTTTAACACAAAGGCTATTATATGGCTTCAAAAGACTTGTACATGTGTTTCTAGACTGATTTTGTTTTTTGTCCTTATTGGGGCATGGCAGTAAAGGCAAACAAAGTAGTGTGTCCGAATTCACAGTATTCATAAAACAGTATGCCAACAGTGCCGGGATGACGCCCAGATTACATCCACACTACACACATTTTTACTATCTAGAACACAGTTTTGTAATTGTTACCAAGTAATTACTTAATCAAAAGAATCACCTATTTAGAGAGTATGCGATTTTGGATGCAGTCCTTATCTGCCATGAGCCACACAGAAATATAGATCTGCCCCAAAATCACGCAATTGGCTCATGCTATTTTGCTATTTACGGGTGGTTGGGATGCTCAAAGGAACAGAGCAATGTTTTTACTTTATTCTGTGTTCTTAGAGCAATTTAGTGCAGTAAGGTCTGGAGGTTCACTAGCACAGCAAATCTTTATGGACAAGGTCGGAGGAATTCGTTTCTACAAATTTCACACAATGTCGCTACATAACAGAGTAATGACATTACCCCTGCAACCTGAGGATAAGTGCCTACCACAAAACTCCTAACTTGCTCCTTAAGAAGACAACCCTCTAAATACCAGCCTTGAGCTTGAAATAAAATGAAATAAAAGAGATTATTATGGGATCTTTTTCTGCAGAACAAAAAAGGAGATACTTTAGAAAATGTTCATGCGGCTCTATTTTACACAAGTAGATAGAAACCAGTTGTTTGTGATGGAAAAATATGAGCTGTAAAGGAAAGTTATATTCAATGCTTTGGTGTTCATCTGCAAAATTTTTGTGTTCCCACAGGAAAAATTGTATATCCGCTTGAAAAACTTTTGCATTCCCAGAGAAACAATATGTTTACTTACAAAACTTTTGAAGAAACTTTACACTTCTTTTGGACACCTTAAAAAACTTTGCACTTACTTGCAAAACATTCCCCCAAGAAACTTTACATTCACTTGCATTAGCACTGAAATACAGTATAGTTTTTTTTCCCTCCCACTTCATATTATTTCCACATATTATCATATTATTACATAGTATTGTGAGTGATCACAAAATAATTGATATGTCATTTTTTCTTCCCATCTCATATTTCTTCCTATCATGTCCTAAATACTAATGTTCCACAAGAAAAAAAAAAGGTCAAACAGATTTGAAAAAACATGAGGGTAAATAAATGATGATTGAATTTTCATTTTTGGGTGAATCATACCTTTAAATAAAAGCTTATAATGCCAATAGTGACAAATTCAGCGGTAAATCTGTGTGGAGTAATGAACTCCTCGAGTAAAAATAGTAGACTGTTCTACACTTGATGTCCAAAAAAAAAAAACACAAAACAAAATCAAAATCTGAGAATCTAGATTTCAAACTATAATTTAGAATCTGAACAAAAAAAGAAACCAGTGTCATAATCTCCTACTTATTCTCTAGATGACAGGACCCATTTTGTTAAATTGAGGCAGACAATATCACATCTTTAGAACTGTCACTGGTAACCAAATGCAGTGTCTCTCAAATTCTCCAATGAAGAGTTTAATTTCCTAATAGAGAGAGCCCCGGCCTCAGCCTGAAGACATTTCAAAAGCCTGCCAGGTGTAATATGATAGAAAGCACTCAGCCTGACAGTGGTCCACCTGCTGATGCACACAAATGAGAATTCCTGCGTGCTACTAAAACCAACTGGTCACAAAAGCAGGTCTTAAGAGCAACTTCCATTTAATGGCACAGAATAATTTAATGTGTGATAGCAGAGCAGGTCGATGCAATAAGGAATCTGTAATGCATAATGCCATAATTTAATTTCGAATAAATCTAATATAGTGTTGCAGCTGACGCAAATTCCTCAATAAAATCAACTCTTGGCATATGATCTATTTTTCTTGTGTGGATCTCAAACTGGGGATTTCTAGAGGAATGTATTAGTACAGTACCCCTTAGATTTGTTTTTTAAATTTGAAATTGAGAAGAAATCAATTCCCTTCCAATGCTCAACTTGTGGGCATCAATTAAAAAGGTTTACCCAACAATGAAAATTCTGTCATTCCAAACCCGTATCATTGTTTTTCTTTTGTGGAACACAAAATGAGAAATGTTCTTTTCCATATAATAAAACTGAATGGATTTGGAATGAGTGTGAGCAAATGCTGACAATTTATTTTGGGGTAAACTATTCCTTTGAAAATTTTATGTGCAAACAAGCATTGCATACCCTTAAGAAAGGATGAAAAAGTTGAAAATATTACCCAATTTCAAAATTTCACTCCAAAACTATCACAAAAAAATGCAACATACAAGTTTAAATAGTTCAAATCGATGAACTACGAAAACTATCCTGAGTCAATCTCGGTCCAAACCACCAAACCATTAGATCCCTGACCAGAACATTTTATATTAGTTCTAAATGTTTGCATTAGATAAATGAACAGTGTGTCTGACACACTTGACAAGGTCCAAGATTAGGAGAGTTTAAATGGCACTGAACGTGGCCCCCAATGACACAGATTTGCTCATCATGAGCGGTGCATGTGAGGGTCCCGCACCCTCTACAGCCTCTTCACCAATCAAACCCTGTCTGTGCAGATTCAGGATGGAGTCAGCAATGATGCGGGCGGTTTTCTTCTGGTAGCCCCCTGACGTCACCATAAGGATGGGGATTCCTCGTCGCCGGGCTGCCCTGAAGATGATCTCATCTCTCTTTATGATACCCTGAAAGACGGGAGAGAATATTTTAGTATTATTTAGTGTTAAACATGGCTTCATATGTAATGTAATGAGTCATTTTTAGCTAAATATCAATCTGAAATTAGTTTAAAAAATGTCACATGTGAGAAGTTTCAAATTAATTGGTTCAAATAGCTAAGCTAATGTATTTGGTGTCTTTCTTTAGAGTTAAGTAAAATAAGGTTTACTGGTCTATTTTCCAACTTGAGCATAAAAAAGGTTTTTGCTTAAAACAAGAAAAAAAGTCAAAAATTATCTGAAAACAAGTCTTAATGTGTAATGCACTTTTTTCTTAAGTTAATATTGTTTCACATATTATTTAAATTTAGGTAACACTTTTGTATAGGGACCAATTCTCACTATTAACTAGTTGCTTATTAGCATGCCTATTAATAACATATTGGCTGTTTATAAATACAGTACTTATAAAGCACATATTCTGCATGACCATATTCTACATCCTTAATCCTACCCAATACCCAAACTTAACAACTACCTTACTAACTAGTAATAAGCAGCAAATTAGTAGTTTATAGAGGAAAAAGTTGTAGTTAATGCTTTGTTAATAGCAAGAATTGGACTCGCTATTATAGCAAGATGCTATGATTAAGAAAATGCTTTTTGTAGAGTATAAAATTTCACATAAACATTTAATAATGAAAATTCAATAATGTGCAAGTGAAATACAAAAAGTACATAAACTCGCTGATAGCATTTGATTTATGAGGCATAATAGGTCAAAATGGCATAGGGTAACCTCATGTGCAGGCATATCAAACACTGTCACCATTAATACACTATATGATATATGATTTTAATAAAAAGTCTTTCTTCTAATCTCCCTCCAAATCTTCAAAATGAAGACGTTTTTAGGCACTACTGCCCATTTATCCTGAATAATTGATACAGAAGTTTATTGACCAGGCTAGAAAACCCTGCCGAGTTGAAGCAGTGTGTCTCAGATCTGATATGGTGGACTGAAAGAAAGAATGAGTGACAGCTGTACCTGTGGGGATATAGCCAGCCCTCCAAGAGGGTCTCCATCAAGAATGTCCGTGCCTGCATTGTATATGATGATGTCAGGCCGTATTTCATTCAGCGCCCCTTCTGAATGGAGCTCTACTTTCTGTAGATATTCCATGTCTTCTGTGCCCCATTCCAGTTCCACTTTTCGTTTAATCGCCCCTGAAGTCAAAAATGAAGACCAAATTAGGCTTTCATCACCTTAACTGCAGACGAAGACAAAGGGAGGTAAAATGTCAGCAAACAGAACAGATAACAGCAATTCAGAGCAGATACACTCAAATACTGGACAAAGAAACCTATTAAAATAACCTATTAAAAGGGTTAGTTCACCCAAAAATGCACATCCTGTTCCAAAAGACATATGACTTTTTATTTTCCTGTATGACTTTCTGCTCTCTTCAATACAATGAAAGTAAATGGGGACCAGGTTAGGCCAAATGTCTTTTGTGCTATATTCTAAGTCTAAAACCATATAATAGCTTTTTTAAATATAAGTCATTAGTCAATTAAAACTGCTTGATATAATCGGTTACCATTCACTTTCACTGTATGTAAAAGAGCAGCCACGACAGTCTGCAATAAATATTTACTTTTGTGTTCCACACAAGAAATACCCACAAACTATTTAAAAGATACAGGTATGAGGGTGAGTAAATTACAGATTTTTTTAAGTTGCACCCGTTTTGAAAAAAATCTGGGGGGAATGCCACTAAGGATTTTTCCGGCTTTCTTTTCTCACCAAATTTCCTGTGGATGTAGCTGAAAAGAATTAACTATTTACTTTAAAAAGGTAAAAACTCATGCAAGATGTTCTTTCGTTTATTTAAGCCTGGTTTAAAGGCAGAGTCAGAAAACAGTGGTACGTTCTCTTTTGAATATACTGAGAAGTCACAGAGGGAAAATGGTTTATATATATATATATATATATATATATATATATACGCGAGTGTCCCGTATCTTCCTTTTCTGAAATTGGCAACCCTAAGAGATAGCCATGCATGCCCATGCCACGATATCACCTCCACCATGCTTTACAGATGAGGTTGTATGCTTAGGATCATTTGCAGTTCCCTTTTTTCTCCACACTTTTGCTTTCTCGATTGCTTATAAAGGTTAATCTTTTTCTCATCTGTCCATAAAACTTAGTTCCAAAACTCTACTCACCTTCTTTTTTGATCTTGCCTTTCTATTTTTAGTGCTGGTCAGAGGTTTGCATCTTGCTGTGTAGCCTCTGTAATTCTGTCAAAGTCTCCTGCAGACAGTAGATTGCCAGAGCATCACTCCAGCTTTCTGGAGGTTGTTGGTGATTTTAAAGACATAGTTTAGGGTTCTTTTTCACAGCTTCTATGATTTGTCTGTCATCAACTCTTGATGCTTTTCTGGTTACCATTGACTTCTATGCTATAATGTACAAAAATATGTTCTCTCATGTTCTCGAAAGAGAGTCCCAGGTTTTGAACAATGTCAAAATGGGGGGGGGTATTATCTTTGCTTAAAAAATGTTTGCATTTTGTGGTAAAAAGATTTGATTTATTGTGATAAACCTTTATAGGCTAATATTTTTTTTCCCTCCCACTTCATATTATTTCCACATATTATCATATTATTACATAGTATTGTGAGTGATCACAAAATAATTGATATGTCATTTTTTCTTCCCATCTCATATTTCTTCCTATCATGTCCTAAATACTAATGTTCCACAAGAAAAAAAAAAGGTCAAACAGATTTGAAAAAACATGAGGGTAAATAAATGATGATTGAATTTTCATTTTTGGGTGAATCATACCTTTAAATAAAAGCTTATAATGCCAATAGTGACAAATTCAGCGGTAAATCTGTGTGGAGTAATGAACTCCTCGAGTAAAAATAGTAGACTGTTCTACACTTGATGTCAAAAAAAAAAAACACAAAACAAAATCAAAATCTGAGAATCTAGATTTCAAACTATAATTTAGAATCTGAACAAAAAAAGAAACCAGTGTCATAATCTCCTACTTATTCTCTAGATGACAGGACCCATTTTGTTAAATTGAGGCAGACAATATCACATCTTTAGAACTGTCACTGGTAACCAAATGCAGTGTCTCTCAAATTCTCCAATGAAGAGTTTAATTTCCTAATAGAGAGAGCCCCGGCCTCAGCCTGAAGACATTTCAAAAGCCTGCCAGGTGTAATATGATAGAAAGCACTCAGCCTGACAGTGGTCCACCTGCTGATGCACACAAATGAGAATTCCTACGTGCTACTAAAACCAACTGGTCACAAAAGCAGGTCTTAAGAGCAACTTAATTTAATGTGTGATAGCAGAGCAGGTCGATGCAATAAGGAATCTGTAATGCATAATGCCATAATTTAATTTCGAATAAATCTAATATAGTGTTGCAGCTGACGCAAATTCCTCAATAAAATCAACTCTTGGCATATGATCTATTTTTCTTGTGTGGATCTCAAACTGGGGATTTCTAGAGGAATGTATTAGTACAGTACCCCTTAGATTTGTTTTTTAAATTTGAAATTGAGAAGAAATCAATTCCCTTCCAATGCTCAACTTGTGGGCATCAATTAAAAAGGTTTACCCAACAATGAAAATTCTGTCATTCCAAACCCGTATCATTGTTTTTCTTTTGTGGAACACAAAATGAGAAATGTTCTTTTCCATATAATAAAACTGAATGGATTTGGAATGAGTGTGAGCAAATGCTGACAATTTATTTTGGGGTAAACTATTCCTTTGAAAATTTTCTGTGCAAACAAGCATTGCATACCCTTAAGAAAGGATGAAAAAGTTGAAAATATTACCCAATTTCAAAATTTCACTCCAAAACTATCACAAAAAAATGCAACATACAAGTTTAAATAGTTCAAATCGATGAACTACGAAAACTATCCTGAGTCAATCTCGGTCCAAACCACCAAACCATTAGATCCCTGACCAGAACATTTTATATTAGTTCTAAATGTTTGCATTAGATAAATGAACAGTGTGTCTGACACACTTGACAAGGTCCAAGATTAGGAGAGTTTAAATGGCACTGAACGTGGCCCCCAATGACACAGATTTGCTCATCATGAGCGGTGCATGTGAGGGTCCCGCACCCTCTACAGCCTCTTCACCAATCAAACCCTGTCTGTGCAGATTCAGGATGGAGTCAGCAATGATGCGGGCGGTTTTCTTCTGGTAGCCCCCTGACGTCACCATAAGGATGGGGATTCCTCGTCGCCGGGCTGCCCTGAAGATGATCTCATCTCTCTTTATGATACCCTGAAAGACGGGAGAGAATATTTTAGTATTATTTAGTGTTAAACATGGCTTCATATGTAATGTAATGAGTCATTTTTAGCTAAATATCAATCTGAAATTAGTTTAAAAAATGTCACATGTGAGAAGTTTCAAATTAATTGGTTCAAATAGCTAAGCTAATGTATTTGGTGTCTTTCTTTAGAGTTAAGTAAAATAAGGTTTACTGGTCTATTTTCCAACTTGAGCATAAAAAAGGTTTTTGCTTAAAACAAGAAAAAAAGTCAAAAATTATCTGAAAACAAGTCTTAATGTGTAATGCACTTTTTTCTTAAGTTAATATTGTTTCACATATTATTTAAATTTAGGTAACACTTTTGTATAGGGACCAATTCTCACTATTAACTAGTTGCTTATTAGCATGCCTATTAATAACATATTGGCTGTTTATAAATACAGTACTTATAAAGCACATATTCTGCATGACCATATTCTACATCCTTAATCCTACCCAATACCCAAACTTAACAACTACCTTACTAACTAGTAATAAGCAGCAAATTAGTAGTTTATAGAGGAAAAAGTTGTAGTTAATGCTTTGTTAATAGCAAGAATTGGACTCGCTATTATAGCAAGATGCTATGATTAAGAAAATGCTTTTTGTAGAGTATAAAATTTCACATAAACATTTAATAATGAAAATTCAATAATGTGCAAGTGAAATACAAAAAGTACATAAACTCGCTGATAGCATTTGATTTATGAGGCATAATAGGTCAAAATGGCATAGGGTAACCTCATGTGCAGGCATATCAAACACTGTCACCATTAATACACTATATGATATATGATTTTAATAAAAAGTCTTTCTTCTAATCTCCCTCCAAATCTTCAAAATGAAGACGTTTTTAGGCACTACTGCCCATTTATCCTGAATAATTGATACAGAAGTTTATTGACCAGGCTAGAAAACCCTGCCGAGTTGAAGCAGTGTGTCTCAGATCTGATATGGTGGACTGAAAGAAAGAATGAGTGACAGCTGTACCTGTGGGGATATAGCCAGCCCTCCAAGAGGGTCTCCATCAAGAATGTCCGTGCCTGCATTGTATATGATGATGTCAGGCCGTATTTCATTCAGCGCCCCTTCTGAATGGAGCTCTACTTTCTGTAGATATTCCATGTCTTCTGTGCCCCATTCCAGTTCCACTTTTCGTTTAATCGCCCCTGAAGTCAAAAATGAAGACCAAATTAGGCTTTCATCACCTTAACTGCAGACGAAGACAAAGGGAGGTAAAATGTCAGCAAACAGAACAGATAACAGCAATTCAGAGCAGATACACTCAAATACTGGACAAAGAAACCTATTAAAATAACCTATTAAAAGGGTTAGTTCACCCAAAAATGCACATCCTGTTCCAAAAGACATATGACTTTTTATTTTCCTGTATGACTTTCTGCTCTCTTCAATACAATGAAAGTAAATGGGGACCAGGTTAGGCCAAATGTCTTTTGTGCTATATTCTAAGTCTAAAACCATATAATAGCTTTTTTAAATATAAGTCATTAGTCAATTAAAACTGCTTGATATAATCGGTTACCATTCACTTTCACTGTATGTAAAAGAGCAGCCACGACAGTCTGCAATAAATATTTACTTTTGTGTTCCACACAAGAAATACCCACAAACTATTTAAAAGATACAGGTATGAGGGTGAGTAAATTACAGATTTTTTTAAGTTGCACCCGTTTTGAAAAAAATCTGGGGGGAATGCCACTAAGGATTTTTCCGGCTTTCTTTTCTCACCAAATTTGCTGTGGATGTAGCTGAAAAGAATTAACTATTTACTTTAAAAAGGTAAAAACTCATGCAAGATGTTCTTTCGTTTATTTAAGCCTGGTTTAAAGGCAGAGTCAGAAAACAGTGGTACGTTCTCTTTTGAATATACTGAGAAGTCACAGAGGGAAAATGGTTTAGAAAAAAAAAACGAATGAGAATTTTAAGGAAAGTAAGGCCATGTAAAACTTATCATGAGAAGCCAGGATGTGCCTTCAATAGAGCGAGGGGAAGGTTAAGTCAGAATATTATACGTTTATAAAACCTTATGTTCAGCTGGTTACGGTATGTAAATGCATTAATGAAATCATCTCAAGTTTGACAAGTTGTCGCACAGTGTGCAATGAAGCTGAACAGAACAGCAATATTTCTGTCACTCCTACTCAAATGTTTGACAGAGCGAGTTAGAAGAGTGCAGATAACGGATGCGTTAATTGACGAAGATTATAATGTGACCATATCGGTGCCAGTTGAAGCGTGTTGTTAGTCATTCCTTCAAAACACTGTGGGCTGTTTCTTTGATATCCAACATATCAATCAAAACATTTCCTGAAGGAAATATCAGTGCATGCAAGGCTGAAAAATAAGACCAATCACCATTCAGTATGCAAAAGACAATGACATTGTGACGAGAGGGGCGGGGCCGAGAGCCGTAGGAACGGAGCGAGCGACCACTCACCGGTCTCGAGTCCCACGGAGGAGCTCCGGAAGGATAAAAGGAGGAGTGACGACAGTGTTGGACGAGAGAGGACCAGGCCTGGTTTTTATTTTGTGTTTTGTGTGCGGCAGTCATCAGCGAGGGGCTGCCGCTCTACTTTCATGTTGTGTTTGTTTATTTTATTCAAGTGTTTAAATGTTCGCCGGTTCCCGCCTTCTTCTTCCCTTGACTATGAACTTTGTTACAGACATCAATGGTCAATTTGAATACTGTATCATTGTAAGCCAAGGCTTTCAAATGTTAAGATATATGTACAATAAATAATGCCCAAAAATAATAAAATAACTGGCATGTAGATGTAAGACAATATTTGTATCAGAAGCAATGTTTAAGAAGGTACACATAGATGTAAAAGAAAAACAAATATTTTCACAAAGAAGGGTGTTAAGGTAACACTAGAAATGTGTATGATAAAAATAAGATACAAGCATACAGTACAAGTATAGTAGCATGAGGGTTGCAGGACACTGCCCCCTGTAGGAGAGCGAAAGCTCTAACCGTCAGAAGGGTGACATGCATTCTTTCATTTCCTTTCATCTGCCTTTTGAGATGAAAGTATGCCATTATTTGAGAGTGTGTGTAGGCGTCAATTTGTATAGATATGCAAATAAAGAGCAAGTCCAGGCTAAATTAGTCAGATAACCATGATCCAAATCGCTTCAGCTTCTCGTATCACTGTGGGACAGGATATCTTTACATAATCAGGATCACTTCAAATCCCCATTTACACACTCAAATGCACATTAACTCACTCTTCGCATATCCATCTCCTGGATAGATGTGGCGATTATAGACATCCATTATGTAAACGCGTCTGTCTTCCTGGAAATCCCGCTCGTGGCCGTTTCCCTGCAATATGCATCAAAGAGCAAATGTAAGTTCATATTATGTGGATTCCTGGTTTTGGACTAATAACTACAACTAAGATTAATGTTGCAGCTGGTTTCACTTACTACAGTGAATTAAAAATATTTAATAAATATATGGTCTAGTGGTTAACACAAAAATGATTGGTGATTTTAGGAGAAAATCTGCTGAACTCTACATAATGGATTTTAACACAGCCAAACGTGTTACAATGAGCTGAAATTACTATATTAAATAAGAATATTCAATAAGTCAGCATGCAAAGAATAATAAGGGTTAAAATCTGTGAAAATCTGCAGAACTCAGTGGGTGAAATCCCATTAAATGCTGCAAAAAAGCATATTTTGTCGTCTTGTTTTACATAAAAAAAAACATATACATCCCCAAAACAAAGAATAAACCATAAAACAAGTGTGTTTCTTGGAAAGTAAAAATGTGTACAAATTTAAACAATAATTACAAAATAATTGTATTATTAATTTGTTAATAATATGATAATCTTCCTTCAACATTATCAAAATCACCCCCGTGTCAATTCCACCCTTAATAATAATAATGATGATGATAATTATAATAATAATAATAATAATAATAATAATAATAATAATAATACGGCAGTAAATGACAAATTTTCATTAGAAAGTTCTTCAGGTAAAATAAACTTAAACTTAATGATGCTTCAAGAAAATTAACTTTTTTAAATTATTTTTTGGTCTTGTTTTACATAAAAAAAAACATATACATCCCCAAAACAAAGAATAAACCATAAAACAAGTGTGTTTCTTGGAAAGTAAAAATGTGTACAAATTTAAACAATAATTACAAAATAATTGTATTATTAATTTGTTAATAATATGATAATCTTCCTTCAACATTATCAAAATCACCCCCGTGTCAATTCCACCCTTAATAATAATAATGATGATGATAATTATAATAATAATAATAATAATAATAATAATAATAATACGGCAGTAAATGACAAATTTTCATTAGAAAGTTCTTCAGGTAAAATAAACTTAAACTTAATGATGCTTCAAGAAAATTAACTTTTTTAAATTATTTTTTTGAATTTTGTAGAACAACAACAAAAATAAAATAATTATTTTTGCATCCATTTTGGCATATCCATGTATCCCATGGAGACAGACGGCAGGAAATTTGGGGTAAAGATATGTATTTCACAACTTGTATTTCATGTATTTTACAAAACTGTTCACTCACTCAGCTCACAAAAATCTCGAAACAGCTTGTCAACAATAGTTACAACAATACAGTGCATTACATGTGTCCAATGCGAGTACAACTGCTTTTGTTTTTGAAATAGAGCATGACTGACAGCGAGAGATGCGAAAATGAGCTTTTCCGTAGCTCTCCTCTGCTAAGTGTTGAGCTCTGTGTTCTGAAGACATAACATTTCCATCTCTCTTCATTCCATCCTCCTCATCTGTCACGTACAGCGTCTGGCTATTGTCACTTTTAATTTAAAACTGCTGCAAGGCCCACAACTCATGTGTACAACTCCAGCCTCTTATTCCAAAACAGTCCTGTCTCTCTGCTCAAAGCAACCGTTAGCCAATCACGAGACTATGAACCATGCGTTAGGGACACATTCACATTCTCCTGTCTGCACCATCTGTGCACTCAAGCAGTAAAACCTTGCTGCTGGCAAAAAGATATACATGTAGCAATTTTGAGTTTGGTCCTCTGAAATCTAACAGGCAGCTTACATTAATAATATATACAGGAGTGATTACTGAACATGCAGCAGCACTTAAGTTGCACTGATGGTCTCTAGTAGAGGTGAACGGTTACAGAACGGTAATATTATCTAATGTGTCAATGCTATTATAAGACCAGAGGACGGAAGGTACAGTATTTCTGCATCAGAGATCAAGTCTGCAATCACCACGGAACTGGAACGCCCAACAGATTGTTTACTAATATAAGCACATGCTGGAAATGTCAGATGGACCATTTCATTGTTGTCATGTAGATTCATCCTCTTTAGTTCTCAACAGGCAGTTAAAGAGGTGATAGAGATACTGTCTGGATATAAGAAGATATTACATTATCATGAACTATAAAAACAGAATCAGAAAGATACTAAGAGATGCTGGGATTATTTTGTAAATCCCCATAGTCATATTGACTGATAAATGCTGCAGCAAAATAAGGTCTGGAGGTAGGTCTTGAGATGAGTGGGAAATTGATGTCTGATGAATTACACAGACTGTGGCCTGGTGAATATTACGCAAGTCCAGTGTAACGTCTCCCCTCTCATTATTTTCACAGCCATTAAACCCAGCTGAGACAGCGCTGGAAATGTCAGATGGACCATTTCATTGTTGTCATGTAGATTCATCCTCTTTAGTTCTCAACAGGCAGTTAAAGAGGTGATAGAGATACTGTCTGGATATAAGAAGATATTACATTATCATGAACTATAAAAACAGAATCAGAAAGATACTAAGAGATGCTGGGATTATTTTGTAAATCCCAATAGTCATATTGACTGATAAATGCTGCAGCAAAATAAGGTCTGGAGGTAGGTCTTGAGATGAGTGGGAAATTGATGTCTGATGAATTACACAGACTGTGGCCTGGTGAATATTACGCAAGTCCAGTGTAACGTCTCCCCTCTCATTATTTTCACAGCCATTAAACCCAGCTGAGACAGTGCTTTCAGGCACATTTATATGCCAACATGAAGATTCCCATCTTTGTTCTGCTTGTGGCCCTCCATGAATTATTCACCCGGCAATGGTATTGATCTGATCTTGTTGGCTTAGTCGATGAGCAAAAGACTATAATTACAATCAAGCCACACTTAAAAATGCTTATGCCAGTTTTATGTACTACTGTAGCACCAAAAATTATCAGGAACAACAACTCCTGGGTCCGTGAGAACTTAATTAATAGGCTGGGCTAATTAGCAGAGGAGTAGACTCATTAGGAAGGAGAGTGCAATAAACTGCAAATTTAAGGGAAACATGTTGATTCACCCTAATAAAAGGAAAGATATGATGTGTTAAAGGCACAATATGTCATTTTCGCCGCTGGAGGGTGTGTATTCAAGATAAACAAATAGACAAAGGCGTAGTTTGATGATGCCGTGACTGAGTGTGGAATCATGGGAGTTGTCACGGGACATGTCACGGGAGTTGTTCATGGATGAGCTAATGATTTATTAACGTAGTAGAATGAAGCAGGGTGAGGCTGAAAGCTGTCAAAGCGAAACGAGGCTGCTGAATGAGCGCGACACATGGCTCGAAAACAGCGGAGCTTTTATTATGCCACAGTCGACCGCTTCCGCTCCTTCCGGTCGAACATATGTGGGGAAAAAAGCAGCGCTGTTTTATCATACTAGATACATTTGAAAGTTCTGTTATAATGCTACTCTGTGCGGTCGTCACCGGTCTATTAAAACGCACAACATATTAAAGCATCTTTGGTGTTTCCATGTTTTCTACAAAACGGAAATCGAGGGGTTATGACGTCATTGGCAGGCGACACAATGACACTATGGACACGGTCCGTGTCACTAGTTAAAATTGCTTATTTCTCTGGATTTAAACATTCTTCAAAACATTTGGGATAATGTAAGTACACAAGTCAGCAAAATATATAACACTGTTCTAGTGGTTTTTGGATATTTTAATAACAAAAATCTTACATATTGTGACTTTAAGGCAAGTATTCGACTGAAATGGCTGGCTGATATAATGACTATCGTTTAAAAGTTTGGGGTCATTAATATATTTTTTTAAAGAAATTGATACTTTTATTTAACGAGGAATCATTAAATTGATCAAAAGTGACAGTAAATGCATCCTTAACTTATAATGCAACAATGGGTTTTTATTTTTATTTTTTTTAAATCTTGGTTTCCACTAAAAATGTTAAGCAGTACAACAGTTTTCAACATGAATGATAATAAGAAATGTTTCTTAAGCACCAAATCAGCATATTACAATGATCAGAATGAAAATTAAGCTTTGCCATCATATTAATAAACTACATTTTAAAATATATTTCAATAGAAAACAATTATTTTAAATTGTAAAAATTATTTACAGTATTATTGTTTTTATTGTATTTTTCATAAAATAAATGCAGACTTGGTGAGCAAGAGAATTCTTTCAAGAACCCCAAACTTATATATGCAATTTAATTATAGCAATAAATAAATACATAAATAAATAACAAATATATGTTATATATCTATATCTATATAGATATATATATATAAACAAATAAATAAGCAAATAAATAAAAGACAAATTGTGAATTATTAATTGACAGATCTGTAACTAACAAACTTTAGCTTATCGGCAAGAGGGTGACAGTCTTAAAACAGCCAAATATCATCTGATTTAACATCCTATAGCAGATATATATAAGTTTATCACTAATTAAGACAACAACTGTGATCACAATTATCATTATAATAAAAATAAAAATAAAAAACTCAATTGTGGTTGAATATGAATATTTCTACACCTACTCTGCTTGATTGTAAGAAAGGGACAGGGTTCAAATGGACTAAATATAAAGGGACAGGGTTCTGGCACACAGTTCCAGAGAGAAGTAATTTTACTAGAAGATCAAGTTATGACATGATTTTAATAAAAAAAATAATGAGGTAAAATAAAATGAAACAGCCATGGTTCACCATAACATATCTTGTATGAAAACTGATGGAAAACTTTCGGTTCATTTCATCTTTTTCAGCAAAGATCTTTCACTATAGGTGACATATATTTTGCTTTCTTGATTCAAATTATCTTGAAAAACTATAAAGCACCAATATTACCTCACTGAAAACCTGAAACATAAAGAATTACGGATGTCTCAGAAGTGATGTGTGACAGCTGTCATCTGAAACTCTTTTCAGCTGATTGCCCATTCAGAGCTCTGCTTCTTAATTCAACTCTTTACCTCAGAGTCTTGCTTGTGAGACAGCTCTCTTTTTTTATTCTGTTATCTCATCAAGCACTTCCTTGTCTCTTTCACTTCATCCAGCTCTCCTCACGCTCGGGTGACCATGACGTCAAACCAAATATTTTCTGCTCACCTTCACAATCCCCAATGTCCACAGAGAGATGCTAGGTCACAATGAACATGCATTCTCACAAGTGCTTGCTTAGCTGCTTTGGTGTTAATTAGTTTGTAAGTCAGCCTATAAACACACTTGTGACCAAGTATATATCAAGATGATAAGCATAAATCAATGACTGGCATATGGCTGATATCCATGTGAAGTCTACACTCTTAGTTAAGGATCATAAAACCTGTAATTTAATGAGAATGATTAAAGAAGGGTCATATTTTATTAATGAGTGGGATAATTTACCATCTCAGCACTGCATTGGATATGACATATTCTACTGCTGCCAAGACCAACAGAGTGGCTTCTTACAATATTCATATCTGGTCTCTAAAAGGGTCATATCATGCAAAATTATTTTTTCTGGATCTACAGAAACTACAGAAAAAGCCATTACCTCATTACACACTATAAGAGCATGTACAACATCATAACACACTTGACAGCCCAAAAAAGTAGCATTTCTATCATTGAGTAGTGATTGCCATGGCAATCATCCTAATGACACACTCAACAGCCAACACTAACGGAGTCATGACAACAAAAGAAAGGATGTTTCAGCTGCAGAAGAGTCAAAGCTGTTGCATATAAGTAATCAGAGTGCAGAGTTATTGATTTCGCCTCCAAAAAAAGGGGGTATTATCTCGTCTACGGCATCAATTCCATTGATTGACAGAGTGGAGTTGGAAAAGGACTGCTCACCTGATGGGCATCTAGATCGATGATGGTGGCCCTGGCAACTCCTTCCACCCTCTCAAAGAGAAACTGCAGAGGGAAACACACAAGGGAGGCAGTTAGGTTGTGCCTGACAGAGGAACAAATTGCAGAGATGTTTGTGGATCTCATGACATGGCAACAATCTGAGAGGGGAATGAATGTGGAAAAAAGAAATCAATGGATGAGTTTCAGTAAAAAGATGGTACAGAGATGCCGAACATGATATCTGTCTGTACCCATGAGTCTGTGCAGGATGGTTTAATAAAACTCAGAGGCTGGATTGTAAATGGTTTAATGACATGTTTATGTAAGTAATCCTCTTATCTTTAGTCTGTTTATTTCTTAAATAGAATAAAATTATATTATTTCTTAACAATACCAAATGGAAACTATACTGAATATGATAAGCAAATCCACAACCCAAAAATGCTCATTTACAAAGTAAAAATGTTAGCCAATAACAACAGCAGGTGAATAAGAGTGGTAAAGTTACAGTAGTAAAACAACACTATATTTGATCATTTGGAGATGATTGACTTCCGCATGTAATTAAAAAAACTCAACCGACTACTGTATATGCATTTAAAGACTATTTTCAAAATCAAAATTCATTTAGTTTAAATATATGGCATTATTTTTCATATTTATTAATAAAAATATATTTTTAAGTGAATTTGGATAAAAAGAGTTGAGTAAAATAACTATTCACTTAGCAATATTAGATTTTGACATTGGTCATCATAATTTCAGTCAGCAACTGGTCAAAGATTTAAACTGTTTAACTGCCATGTTATTCATAATTCATTCACATTATTTACAACTGTTTTAGATGACTAATACATTTCTTATAGAGGCCCATTTTGCAATCTCTAATGTTTTGATGCAAACATCTCACCTTGATCGCTAGTGTGATGTCAGCGTAGGCACAAAAACCTCCTCCTTTGTCACTGGAGCAGTGGTGGAAGCCTCCTCCTACATAAAGCAGAATAGAGCCTTAAAAACAGCTCAGTTCATAAAAATGGCGCCTGTATTCCAGTGCCACCAGAAGATTTCCATCTGAATGTTCCCACAAAATGTGGGTGATTGAAAGACTAGTTTTTAATTAGGATCATATTTATACATTCAGGCCACAGATCTGATCTGTCCTCCCATGACCTGCCACATTTAGCCTCATTAAATGACTTTGCACTCCGGAAGCTCCTCTACGGGAGCGGGCCGGTTGCTGATTAGCATTTATTGCTTATTCACACGACCCCGCTTGCTGATTCACACCTTTCAATTACTGTGCAACACCCTCCAGAGAACAACGCGCGCATTTGAATGAATAGTCGCCGGTTGTCTATTAATGTTTAGCAATGCAGAGGCAAAGAGTAGCTCTGTTTCTCAACGGTAAGAAGGAAATGGCTGAGCTAGCAGGAGCCACGCTTTTTCTCCCACTTTCTTCAGAAACGAGGATGTGAATAGAATAGTGAATGCATTGATACATAGCCATCTTTGGGGACTTTTGAATGAAGTTACCAAGAGAACAACCCTGTTACATCTTAATATTAAAGAGTCTAGGGCTACCAGTGGAACATGACTATTTTAAAAATATATTTTAAATAATAATAAAAATATTATTTATTTTATGTAATTGTAACATATTCTTTGCTCTTTTTTTCCCCACTCAATGTCAGTTGAACGCTGACAAAATTAGAGGGAATTTGTTGTGACTATGTAATATCAGGATGTTTGAGAATCACTACTTTAAATTATCAATAGTTTGTCTGAGATGGAATCAAATATGCAGGGAACACAGCAAATCCATAAGCCACAGTAAAATGCACTTATTCCCTTGGCAATTGTTTTTCGAGTGATGATCGGGAACATTAGAGAAAGAACTCACCCACATTTATTGCCCATCCTCGATCCATTGCCAGCTTTCCAGCCTAGGTAAGAAAAAAAAGAGAGAGAACACTTTACTTTCATGGTTTCATTTTCCAGCTGGCATTTTCCCCTATTGAGTCATCAATAAATGAACAGAAAAACAGAAATCTGTTCATATGCTGGATAAATCAAAAGCAGAGTAACTTGGCGCTAAAGCTGAGGGAGTATACAACATTATCTGAACTTCTTTCATCTCTGATTATAAATCCTTTCAACTTCACACAGAGGTTCTGTGCATATATGGTCTGCTAATGGTTTAGGAGGGGTTTTGTGCAGCTTTTTACAGAGCCTGTGCATTTCTAATATTTAAATTCACTCAGTTTAGTCATTTATTTTAGTTGTTAATGCTTTCCTCATATATTCTTTCCTTTATTCACATATCTGTTTCCTATCTTAGTTTTGCATTTCTGTTATTATGAGCATAAGGGAAATCCAATCTATTGAACACATTTAATGGCAGAGGAATAACAGGGAACGTCTTTAAAATAGTGCTTATATCACAGCACATATACACACACACATACTACCATTGAGGTCATTAAGGTTTTTTAATGTTTAGAAAAGAAGCCTCTAATCTTTACCAAGGCTGTATTTATTTAATAAAAATCAAGTAAAAACTGTCATTTGGTGAAATATTGTTAACATTTTAAAACGACAATTTTCTATTTTAATGTTTTAAAATGTAATTTATTACTGTGATGGCAAAGCTAAATTTTGCAGCCATTACACCAGTCTTTAGTGTCACATGATCCTACAGAAATCATTCTAATACGCTGATTTGGTGCTCAAGAAACATTTATTATCTTTTTACAAACATCTATTAAAGACCTTTTACAAATACAAACAACAAAATATAAATGAGAAACTATACAATATTATTTCTGATTTGTGTTGCTTATCAATTATGAATTTGTATTATTACACAATACCAAGATACCAACTAATGATAATATTAGACCAGTTTAACTGTATCTAGAATTGATATACAGCCCAGTACACTCATGACACTCTCCTCTGAGTGCATTTAAAGCTACTTTCAGTCACTCATGAAGTAGAGTGCTAAACTGAGAGGAGAGCTCCACACATATACGAACACACACACAGTGCTCTTGAGCTCAATCCCTTGGCTGCAGTCAGTGCATGGCTTTGCATAAGGAGAAGGTTATCAGTGAGGCTAGAGCCCTGAGTGGCTCCTAGGAGGCACAGCTCAGCTCAACTCAGCTCTATCTTTCCTTTTTTAACTTTCTCCCGCACTCCCTCTCAGGGTTTCTACTGATAGGGGATCCATCAGTAAAACTGAATCAAAATGATTTGAGTCTGCAATCATCTCAATCAATTCAAGGGCCAGAGTGCATATAAATTTACTCATAAGTAATATTTTATTCAAAGCATCCAGTGCTCTCAATGAAACAGAAAAGGCAACATGGAAAAAGTCTATATAGGCCTCAACAAAATATGGATTTTTGGGCAAGTAGTTCACATTCAGTTCAGCTGATATATATATATATATATATATAGACCTCTTCGAAAAAATTAATATTTCGAAATTAAAAAAAAAATTGTATTTTTGTCACATTAGCTATGTGAACACACAAAACATTCATGGACATGATTCGGATATGTTAAAGGGTAAAAAAAAAGTCACACTTGGCTCCTTCGCGGTCAAAAATGAACGACATAGGAAATTAATAGGAGATATGAAAAAATACGAAAACTCTGATAATTTTTTGGTGGTACAAACTACAAATCAGCCACTGTGCTGAACAAAAGTGCACAGCAATCAAGGGGTGACTCTCTAAAATATCAAGAGGGCAAAATAGACACCCACGCACACACACACACACACACACACACACACACACACACACAGAAATGGAGAAAAGTGCACCAAAGCTGCATTTGTTTGATCAAAAATACACTAAATACAGCAATTGTATTGTTTTAGATTTAAATACACACTACTTTAAAATGTCCATTATTCCTGTAATGGCACAAACAAATTTTCAGCAGCCATTTTAAATGTATTTTTAAAGAAATATTTCATGCCAACTATAATGTGTCCCTGTTGTTTAGATTTTTGCTGGAATATGATGAAATACATTGCAAAACAATATTGATTTATTTATACCAATACTTTCCAACTGATGCAAAGACTATCACAAGTCACTTGCACACTTTGACAAATCCCCACCGGTGTTTTATTTCACTCCCTAGACCCCTAAGCAGTATATAGTAAACACAAATCTACGAAACACTGGGACAATGATTATTCAGTTTCCTGGGACACCATTAGAATTCACTCATTCACACTGGCTCTGGGCCATGCTTATTTTTAAATGTATCCTCTTCAGAATCTAAACAGGGCTCATATCAGTGTCATTTCTAGTCGAACTACCTAAATGACATCACAACCGCTCTGTGTGAAAAGGATACAAACATCCAACTCAAACTCGACCGGCCTATTTGTAACTGAAGTAGTGCTATTAAAGCAAAGACAAGTGTGCACATCTGATCTCATTCATAATCATCACATTAAGACTCTGATAATAAGAAAATCCACAACAACAGAACAGAGATTAATGATATGAGTCTGCCCATTTTGATAATTCCTCCTAAACGCTCACAATTACACAGCGGATGTTGTCTAACCTTGAACTTCCTTGCTCACTACCTAAGATGGGGACGGCCCGCACATACTCCCATGTTCCCCGAACCAGAACTACAGCTCCATCCAGCCTGTCGTCTGCTGACTGAAATGGCAGTCAATTAGCAGGCCGTGAGAAGGGCTCAATGGGAGGTGTAATTATGTTCTCGGGCTGAGAGGGACGTGTGGAGCACACTCATCGCGAGTTCGTCTGCCGCGCAGTGCAGTCTGTCAGAGCGCAGATGCACTGTGGAGAACACCTGGCATACCGCAAAGTAATTTACTGCAGTCTTTTACATCACTGGAATAACAGGGAGGATAGAAAGTAGGGAAGGACGTCCTCAAGATGGTACTGCTGCTAGAAGATTGACACCAACGGAATTTCCTGGGTTTGGCTCAATCAACAGCCTTTTTGGAATAATGTTGATTACCATAAAAATTCATTTCGGCTTGTCCATCCTTTTCTTTAAAAAGCAAAAAAATCTGGGTTACAGTCACAGTGAGGCACTTACAATAAAGGTGAATGAGGCCAATTTGTAAACATTAAAACACTGCTTTAATAGTATAGCCACAAGGAGTAAACAATATGGGTGTTAACATGATTTTATTATGAAAAAATTGCCTGCTAAGTAGCATTTTTAACGGAGCAAGTTTTAACAGAAAAAAAATTAATGTTAATTGCCTATAAAAATTATAAGCTTCATATTTCGGCTTTTAAATCCTTTTAAGCGCTTCACTGTAATCTCTATGTTTGCTTTTTTTAAAGCAAAGTTGTTGTTTTTTTACAAGTAAAAATTATTCAGGTGGTAATATAGTCCACATAATGGCCAGGTGCTTCAATTGTTTGGGAAAACATGCCATTAAATATATTTTTGCTGTGTTGCATTTACACAGTCTATTGCTTCAACAATTTTAGAATCTGTTCGAATCAGTGAATCATTTTTAAAGGAATTGGTTTAGTTGTTCTGAAGTTTCAAAAAGACTCACCCTGTCATTACATTTTCCTAAGAAAATGTAAATCTCAATTACTACTATTATTATAGATAAATACTGTGATACACTCTTCTTGGTAGAAATACCAAATGGTCTTGAAAGTAGTAGCAATTCTCAGTTGTGTTCTCATTGTGTGCTTATTGCTTAAGTTTAAGCAAATAAAATATTTAAATACAACAATTTAACCATCAGAAAGCATTTCCTACAGAGAAAACTGTCATGGGCTGAAGTGCGCAAACATCCAAGCAGGTTATTAAGATCCAAAAACAGATACCTCCTTTGAGAAATAAAACACTGAAAACTCATAGGAAATTAAAGTAGCACTCTCAGCCTTTATTTTTTGTTTCTCTGCTTAACTCCCAAGCAGAAAAGCAGAAAATAATGTGTCTGCTTCTATGATAGCTTCAAAAGAGGCTGTTAGTGTTCATTTGGTTGTGTTACCTGTGAGAAACTCCTCCGAGCGTCTCTATCACAGATGTTCAGAGCCTTTCCTACCGGCTGTTCCTCCCCAGGTTATTTCAACTTATGCCAATGAGAGGCCCAAACTAGGCCCTCACAAACAACTTTCTGTCACCAAATGTTCCCATTTCCTAGCAAAACTTTGAACAATACTCCATGGAGCTGGAGCCTGAGCAAGATGATGACTCACTGTATTACATTCTCCGAGCAGTATAACACCTGGTGTTGTACAAAACCTACTGAAAAAATCCTAAAGTAATGTGTACACCATTTCTATTAAAATTTCTCTGTGCTACTTGCTTGCAGCATAAACAGAGCATTAAAACCCTGTTAGAGCTTGTAGAATCTTAAGACTTTTTTTATTAGTAACAGAACACTTGCAACAATCCTCTTAATGGATAGTATTGTTGTTTCTCTTAAACATTTGCAGAGTGCAGATAAGAGGATTGTGCGCATATTTAATCGTCTGCTTGTAGTTCCTCCCTTCCTGAAGGGCAGCGGCTCTCCTTACGCACGCGTCCCTTACTACGTCATACTGACAACAATGCTGAACTCTTAATTTATCAAACGTGTTTTTGTAAGAGTTAAACTGAGATGAATACGGACAACATAAATTCATTATTCAACACTAATCCATGAATAATATTCATTCAAATGACGTTGGTATAAAAGATCATGTAAGACAGTATTTTGTGCGTTTTCCAGGGCATCAAAGGGTGAACCAAGGCAGGACAAAAATTGGTTATTGTACAAAATAAATCAAAAAAGCATTGATTATTAATCCTATTAGAAGAATATTTTTAAAATAGTAATTATATAGTTTAATGACAGGAATTTGACCTTTGAACAGCTCACATCAACAACAAGACATGGGAAGTGTGTTCTCCTCCTTACTATTTAATGCTTAGTTGCACTTTTATAACTCACTTTTTTTCTTCTTCTCAGAATAGACCTGCAACCCTCCAGCTGAGGATCTCTATAAACCAATCCAGCTGAGGACAACAAAACGTGATGCTGTTATTTAGAAAGGGCCTGCCAGAAAAACTAATAGTCTGATTTTTAATCTATGCATTTGCATTGATGCACATAAGCATAATTTCAATAATTTATGAGAGATGATGAAACTTGTACTTCACCTCATTTATTTCATAGGGTAAACATGTCTCCTAGTTGCTGTCCCCAGAGTTGTAGTTACTAAAAATATCTGTTTGTGTTGCCCTATAGTGGAATACTGACGTCATCAGCCCCGTCTCAGAGATGAAGTGAAGCTGTATCGCTTACTCACTAGCTGCTTTCTTTCAGCTCATAGTAACCCGTGAGTAAAAAGTACCGTCATCCAGCTGTTACGTAAGAGAATACAATAGATAAAAGAGAATAGATGGCAGCGCGTGTGTCCCTGCCCTCATGGCTAGCAGTTTGATCAGTATCCTAATTCTTTCACAG